TCCCTCCACCGCAACCCCCACTCCACCTATACCTAGCATCATCCATGCTCCATCCATACCTACCGTCCCCACCACCTGCACTTACACCCACTCCCGGACCCATCCCCATCCCCACCACCCCACCTATATCCCCACCCGCACCGCCGTACCTCCCATCCTTCCTGGGAACTGACAACACGGTGATGCCTTTCTCCTCCCCCCCCAAGGCAAAGGCAATTCTCCCAAGAGCCTGTGGCGGCGCTACATCCCACCTGAACCCCCCCCCCCCCCAACACACACCCCTTTACACACTCACCAGCGTGTCTCTAAGGGCAGCAGCGCTAGCAGAGACCGGGCCTGGCCATTTTTACCACCCATCCCACAGCAGGTGTAGATGACTCAGTGCCTGGATACTAGTGTTCCCACTCACAATTGGCTGGTGTAGACTGGGCGGGGGGGAAATATCACAGCCTTCAACAGCCACCAGTAGGGGGCAGCAGCTCCACCTGGTCTCCACCATGGAAGCCTTTGGCATTGCTGCGGAATTCGTGCATGGCGGGCAATGACATTGGTTTGGTTTGTTGGCAGTTTGCGGGTGATCAGGAGTGGATTCCACCAGTGGAGCGAGCAGGAGTCCACCTGTCAGCTCTGCCGATGAATCTCACACCTGACCTCCCCCGCCCCCCGTTAGTACAGTCCCAGGCAACTCCCTTTAGACTGCGCTGCAGGATGAGTCTCTAAAATCAGGAACTAGCATTTCCCTCGTGGTTTAAAACTAGATTTGACCCTAGGCCTTCAGGGCACCCTGGCTGGGCTGGACAGCTAGCCCCACTGTTCTTCCTGACGTCCCTGCCGGCGGGACGGGGTCCCAATCCCAACCGGACTCACTGGGGGGCAGATTTCTTTGTTGATCGGAAGAAAACGGAACCTGATTCAGATCGTGGGGTTAGCTGCTGCCTGCCACGCAAAGGGTGAAACCCATTCATTTCCATCTCCTCCACACAAGGCCAGTCTGAGTCAGGGTCTCACCAACCCAGGATGCTCAAGAGGCTGAAAAACATCCTGGTTCCTGGCTGGCACCTGGTTTGTATTTTTACATGGTTACCCTGTCTGACCCCAGTAGATTCCTCTGCAGCATGGGAGCCACAATTCTCCGGAGTGCCCGGCACACGCGTCACTACGGACAATGAGACACTTAGCTTCAGCGTGGAGTGAAGCTGGAACCAGAACTGAAGATGGTAGGTAACGAGGGCACTGAGGGTGGTGGCTGGAGATCCTACAAGGGAGATCAGCCCTGGGAAGGAGGTCGGAGTGGGGGGGTTACTATTTGCACTGGGGAGAAGGGTCCCTGGAGGGCTGGGGAAACATGTCTACTCCAGGGTGTGCTCCAAACAAAGCATCAGGCCCATTGGCCCACCAGCCCGCATGCTCTCAGCTTTGACTGTAGCGATGCAGACACATGACGCATGGGACTGTCCCTATGGCCTGTAGATAACTCCGCTGCTCCTGATTTCATATCGTGCCTGCTGCAGGCTCTGCAGATGCCACCCCGCCATCCTGGCAGGGCAGGTTGGCGCTGCTCATCGTACCAACCCTGTAGTCATTGCATGAGCATGGTTTGCAGGGCTGGAGAGATGGACAGCTCGGCAGGCAGGCAGCGCCAGGTATGGGGGCAGGAACCAAAGCGCCACGGGGTCTCCTGTGCGCTTGCTGTACTCACCGTCGGGGCAGGCTTCCCTCCAGAGACTATGCAGACCAAGGTGAAGTTCTGCGCTTGGTAGCGGCTGAAGGGGGCGGGCGTGTCCGCAGCAATGACTGAGATAGAGATGGGAGGAGCTGTTGGGAGAAAGACCAGGGTTATCACCAATGACCTGCTATCGTGCCCTGAGCCCACCGACCAGAGATCGTACAAGGGGCCTGTCCTACAGGGCTCGCTAGCTAGGGCTGGGACAGGGCAGTGGGGAAGTGGGTTGGGACAGGGCTACCCCCAGAGGAGCATATTGAGACAATGTGCCCCCTCCCCAAATACACAAGCACCCCATATACGCACTCCACACGTACCACACTAGTGCACACACACACACGCCTGCTGACACACACTTCCATACACCTGCACACACGGGCCCAGACCCATTTCCCCCCACGCAACCCGTAATCACACATGTATACATGCTGTGTACACATGCATGCATGCACAACAAGGTCAGGCTCCACCTAATGCACCCCACACAAGTTGGTGTACACACACCCACACACCTGTACACACAACACAGGCACACATATACAGTACCGCATACAAACCCATGGGAACCCTCCATGCACCAATATACATGCATACATCACGCCAGATCACCCAGGCCCTACCCCTCACACATGTACAAAACGCACTGCAGAACCTCCCCAGACACGCATGCCTTCTACAACACCGGCCACGGTACATCCATTCCCACCCAGGTGCCCACATACTCCCTTGCCCTCTTGTTCTGCACACCCACCCCCCGAGGTGTGTTGCAGAGCAGGTGTTAGCAGCACGTGCCGTTGACCAAGTTCATGGGAGAATGGTAGTTTCCAGTTGTCCAGACTGTGACACCTCTCAGCCCCGAATGAGAGCGGCGCATGCATTCTCCCCCGCTATTACCATAGGACGCCGATGTGAGTCACGGCATCATGGCAAATGTCACTTCAGATCTCTCCCCTGGCTCCTTGGCAGAACAGCCTCGCCTAGCAAAGAGCTGTCTAGCAAAGAGACTATGGCATGGCTCCCACCGCTGAGCTGCCAGCTTCCAGAAGCTGGCCTTCCTCCTGGCACTGACCACCCTGGTGGAAGGTGGACAGGCAGCCTCTCTCTCCTCTACCCACATGGGGCCTTTTCCGAGCACTCCTCCCAGCAGAGATCCTCTGGGCAGCGCCCACGGACTCCCGTGACTCTCCTCGGAGCAGATCTCCTCAGCGTCAAGTTAGGATGGGAGCAGCGCCCTCGTTAACTCTGCATTCGTTATTAATTGCTACCTCCTACCTACTTTTTGGTAGCGTCTTGGCGGCCAACCGAGATCAGGGCCCCCCGGTGAGAGGTGCTGTGCACGCAGAGTATGGGGCGGTCCCTGTCTTGGCAAAAGGTGGGAGAAAGTGCAATTGTCGCCAGTGTACAGATGGAGAACTGAGGCCTGGAGAGATTCAGTGACTTGCCCGCGGTCACGCAGTGAGCCTGTAGCACAGCTGGGACTAGAACGCAGAGCGCCTGAGGCCCACTCCGTTGCCTTAACCGCAAGACCCACCCCCCCTGCTCTGAAAAGCTGCTTTAGTTTAAAAGCAAATACTAAGACGTGTGACAACAATACTAACAAACTCTCGGGCAATCTGACCCCGACTCTCACCACAACTGAGGTTTTTTTTCTGAAAGCCCCAGCTCCTGGAGTCAGGTGATCATGTGAGAATCTTGGCTTTCATCAAAAAAGTTTCTAGTTCCTGTGGTGGTGGAGAAAAGCTTCAAAATGTGACCCGAGCTTGACCTAAAGGCCAAAACCCAGAAGGCAACTAAGAAGACCCCATGGGGCTGGCAATACTGCAAACTAATCATGAGTGATGCTTAGCAGGTCTGCCACACCCTTCAGCCAAAGTTCCCCTAGCCCGTCACAGACATTAACTGTGTAAGTGTCACTGCCAGGTAGGTAGGGATTGTTAACCGCCTGTTACAGGTGGGCACATGGAGCCTGACTGGCCCTGGGTTCACCAACAAATCGCCAGCCAAATGGTGGTTTGCACTATTGTTTGCTGAAGGGATAGGGCCCGATTCTGCTCGGGGCCCAACTCTCCATCCTCCATCCGTCTATCTCCAGAGCGTGGGCTCTTCAGGGCAGAGACAATGGGCCACAGTCTCTGCTGGTGTAAATGGACATTGCACCCCTGGAGATACCCCGATTTACGCCAGCTGAAAACCTGGGCCTTCCTCTGCACATGTACAGAGCCTAGCGTATGTTGGATGGGATGTATACATACAAATGTGTTGCCCCATTGAAATTGGGGGCATTACAGGGCTGCAAAGCCTATAAACCAGAGAAGGGCCTGATTGAAAACCACAGAGCAGAAGTCCCCCAGACTCTGTCCCCGGAAGGGCTGAACCAGATCCCAACGCGACTGGACTTGGAAAAAGTCTGGCCTCAGATCCGATTCCGGAGCCAAAGCCCGCAGCTTGGGCAGGCGTGTAATGGTGACAGCCCCAGCGTGTTTTCATGGCTTCTAGCCACACAGAAACGTCACGAGTGAGGTGCTGCCCGGATCCCACACCCATCCCCTTCCTCTGCTACTCACGCATTCACTCTCCTGCACCTCCTCCGCTCCATTCCCCCCCCCCCACATCACACAATCCAGTTAATCTAGCTCCACAGCGCCGACAACACCCTCCCTTCCCACTGCGCAGGGCCGGCTCCAGGCACCAGCTTGCCAAGCAGGTGCTTGGGGCGACCACTCTGGAGAGGGGCGGCACGTCCAGCTATTCGGCGGCAATTCGGCGGACGGTCCCTCACTCCCGCTCGGAGCGAAGGACCCTGGAGCCGGCCCTGCCACTGCGGCATCCTCCCGGTGCAGGGGGAGCGCGGTGGGGCCTGGTACCGGAGGGGAGGAGAAGTGGGATGCTGCTGCAGTGAAAGGCAGGGGGCTAGACTCCGAGGCCTGGGGAAGAAAGGCCCCACTGAGCGGCTAAGCCATAAATTTTCAGCTTTTAGGCAGATCGGAGGCGTCGCCAAAGAGAATTAAAAAAGCCCCCAAAAAACAAAAGGGGGTAAGAAAAAAGAAAGCGCCAACCCTCTGGTTTATGTGAAAATTAACTATTGAACTGAGCAATAACGGCAGCCGAGCCAGGGCCCCAACTGACAGGCGAGATAAACGCAAACTGCCGCATCTGTAGTCGGCAGCAAGGGCTCCTTTTATGTGGCAGCTGCTCCGTAGCACGTGCAGCCCCTCTGCTGCAAGCTGCCACCTTCCCGGCCCCTCCCGCCCGTTAATTACAGCCGCGCAGAAAACTTTTGACGAGGGCTCGTAAAATTTCTCATCTCTCTCCACCCCCACCCGTGGGTTGCCTCTCCCAGGCCATTCGCTCGCTTGGGGGGAGAGACACATCTCAGAACGCGTCGTCAGCCCCACTGCGCCTTCATCCGTTGCCCTCGTGTGTCCCCTGTAGCCCCCGCCCTTTATGGGCCAGTAAATCAACGCACTCGCCTCTTCCCCTGGCCTGTGAGAACCTGTTCACGTGCCACCTCCATCCCCTCTGGGCAGCGGGAGGGGAAGCCTGACCACTGCTTAGAGCAAAATGGAAACAACACCCAGAGTCTCCTTCTCTTGTGAGCGATTGGCTCTTAAAATGCAAGCTCCAGGGCCCTCGTTTATAGGGTGCTGGTCTCAGGGAGACGAGTGGACGGCAGTACTGATTGGCGGTGGCAGAACTAGCTAGCTCTCTCATTAGTGGGGTGAGACCATCAGCGCTCTCCGGGCTCACTCTCTGATTGGTGTCATGAGACCGCTGGTGCCCGCTGATGGGCGGCACGGGACCGCCGGTGCCCGCTGACTGGTATCACCGAATTCGTGCTGCTGCGACTAGCACGTCAGCCTGTAGCCACGCCGCCTCAGACGGTGGTTTCACCAGATACCACGCTCTGACCGGGGTGTTTGTTCAGCAGTTGGATGGGAGACGCCCCAGGGAAATCCCAGCTGCTGTTGCAGGCAGTGCAGGCGATGACTCAGTAGGGGGCGCTCTTCCCCCTCTGTCCGTACTGAGCCAATACCCCCGCCGGGCCGCATCCACAGACAGAAGTGGGGGCTCCGGTCCCTTCAAATCACAAGCCTGTAGTGACACTTCACCCTCAATCGCACAGAGTAACATCCTGACGTCCTTGGCTCAGACGTCCACGGCAGTTCTGCCTGTGTAAAACCGAACCCCTAATGCTTAGTTTGCCAGTCGCTGTATTGGGCATAGGATCAGCCGTGGAAAAATGTGTCTCGGCTTTTGCTCATAAGGCAGAACAGTCGCCATTCATGGTCATCCCCATTTGTAGAGGCCTTACAACCGGTGGGGTTGCCACGGGCTAGGTCCCAGCTGGTGTAAATCAGTGTGGTGCCAGTGAAATCCAAGAAGCGATGCCAGTTTGCTTCAGCTGAAGATTTGGCCCTGTGTGTTTTACCCGCTGTGAGAATTGCTAGCTGGATTTCCAGAGACGGAACAGTTCCATTTGACAAACATGCGCTTGAGTTTAAAAGGGTTTTTGCCCCCCGCCTAATAAAATAAATTAGCAACCACAAAACAAGCAGATTGTTCTGCTCGGCAGTCTCCTGAAAGGCGTCTCCTGGGCTTTCGTTTGGAGCGTTCTGGTTTGAAAGAGCAGTCAGCACGACTGTCATTGTCTTCGGAGTGCAAGGAGTATTAATCCGTTTACCCTCGGCTGGGTGCTGACTTCCCAGTGATCCAATAAAAACAACGAGGAGGCCGGTGGCACCTTAAAGACTAACAGATTTATTTGGGCATGAGCTTCCGTGGGTAAAAAACCCACTTCGACACGAAAGCTTATGCCCAAATAAATCTATTCGTCTTTAAGGTGCCACCGGACTCCTCATTGTTTTTGTGGATACAGACTAACACGGATACCCTTCTGATACTCAGTGATTCAATGTTCCTCTTCCATACCAGGCAGTCACATTTTGGGAAGGCCCTTCGGTTCTTACCAAAAGGATTTTCTGCTCCACTTGTCTCCCGACAAACGTAGGATTTCCCAAGTCGCGCCCCTCCCCTGGCGGTTAGCTGGGAACATTAGGGAGTCGTTCTGTTTCGCTTGGGATGTTTTTCTGAC